CTGCGTCTGCCCTAGGGCGACTTTTGCCCAATATGGGTGGACCCAGCGTCGCGACAAGACGGCTGTACACGGGGGTTGTCCGGTCAATGGCACTGTACGGTGCACCGGTGTGGGTGGCGGCTCTGACCGCCCAGAATAGGGTACGCCTCTGGCGCCCTCAGAGGGTAATGGCGGTCAGAGCCATACGCGGTTACCGCACCGTGTCGACGGAGGTGGCATGCGCGTTGGCCGGAACTCCCCCGTGGGATTTGGAGGCGGAAGTGCTCGCCGAAGTTTATCGGCGAGTGGCTGACTTCCGGGCGGAGAGCGGATTTCGCCCTCCGCCCGAGGATGTGCGCGAGTGGCGCGAAGCCGCTCGCCGAGCCACGATGGCTCGTTGGTCGTTCCGGCTGGAGACTCCACGCGCTGGCTTCGCCGCCGTGGAGGCTCTCCAGCCGGTCATCGCCGAGTGGGCAGGGCGGCAGCACGGGACCCTTTCCTTCCGACTGACGCAGGTGCTTTCCGGGCACGGTTGCTTCGGAAAGTACCTGCACACGGTCGCTAGGAGGGAACTGAGTCCCGCCTGCCACCACTGCGACTGCAGTGAGGACTCGGCCCAGCACACGCTGGCGGTCTGCCCCGCATGGGCGGCGCAGCGCCGGGCCCTCACTGCAGTCATCGGAGTGGATCTCTCGCTACCGGCCGTAGTACGCTCCATGGCCGGTAGCGACAGTTGTTTTACCGCGGTCGCATCCTTCTGCGAGGTAGTAATCTCGCGGAAGGAGGCGGCGGAGAGGGCCCGGGAGGACGACCTCCACTCGGACCCGATCCGCCGCCGGCGAACCGGGCGGCGGAGGCCCGCCTACCACAGCCTCATGCCGCCCTGAGTGTGGCCGCGGGTGGACGGGGTGGGTTTCCCCTCCACCCGCATTAGTTTGGCCAGCCGCGAGGGGGCGGCGTCCGCGTGTGCCGGACGTCGCCTAAAGAGAGGAAAATATATTGAGACGGAGCCCGCACCAGGAGCGGGCTGGCGCTAGGAGGGGTCCGGATGTCTTAACAACAGCTGTTCCCGGATCCCTCCTGTTACAGGCGCAGAGTGGCACACCGTGTGGTTTTAGTCGGTCCGAGTCCGACACACCACCCCGCCGCAAACCCCGGAGGGGTGACGGTCCGAGGGGATTTCCACACGTTAAAAAAAAAAAAAAAAAAAAAAGGGTTTGTTTCAAGTTTTCCTTCTCTTTGTAGTATTGTTGTCCTAGGTAGTTTGTTATGTATGAATAGAGGTGATGACACTCCATATTCTTAATTCGTCACCACACGGAGTGCACACTGCCACAAAATCTTTCCTAAAATGCACATCACACAGAAAACACACCATTTTAGTTCAAAGGTTATGTACTCGTAAGTGTAATATTTAAAACAAAATAGTCACTTCATGTCGTATAACCGCGTCACTTCAGGTACTATTATTGTATATATTTATTTTATAGAAATTATGGTATATATTTTATTCTGTGTGTATATTACATAAATATGTATTTGTGTATTCGTCTATGTAGGTAGGTACTTTTAAATAGCACTATTAAGTGTTATTTTTATATTTGTATATACTTAGTTCATAGCTTCATTGTACTATCTATCTATCTAAAGATTGACTGGTAGATAATGCCATGTGGCATTAAGTCCGCCTAGTGCAAAATGTAATGCAGGAAGTGTAAAATAAATAAAAATAAAATAAATAAGTCGTAACTGAACTAAAAATATATAACAAAATTGATATGAATTATAACCTTACACAGGGATATCGGTGTTGTATGACGAAGGACCTACATTCTTATCCATTCATATGGTAAAACAATCTTAGAGAGTAGGTGCGAATAAAATGTCAAGTTTTATGACAAGGTGCGCCTTTATGACGATATAGGTTACGCCTTCGCTTTATTTGCTCCGCACAAGTCGAAGGGAAAAGAATTGTCATTTCATTGGTCTTTTTTTCATACGTTCAAACTTCAGTGACACGTAAAACGTTTGATTTCTTTTTGGAAAACCGTTACATAAGTAATCCTTTCTTTAAGTTTTAGGTGCAAGTTAGCTTTACTACGTATCCATTCATTCGATATGTATAAAAAAAAGCACCAGTCTTCCTGAAGACAAAGGTGAGTCCCCACTCACTGAAGAATGAGTGTGAATAATAAACCGAATTCAATGTGTTATTCCGTTTTAATTAGATGCTGTACAGACCTATCAATTTCGCCATCATTTTGTAAGCCGAGGTACTTGGAATAGGTGCAAACTGGAATCGCCATTCAGTGAAATAGCGGCAAGACTGGAGAAACCACCGAAATCACAGATCATGTATTCAGTTTTGGTTCTGATTTTCAAGCTAATATTCTCCTGTCTCTGTTGCAATTTTTAAAGTCTGCACTGGACTTCGGACCTGTCTTCACCGACCAAAACAATGTCGTCTGTAAACAGCATACACCATGGTACATTTTCCTGTAGGTCCGATGTCAGAGCATCCCTTATCAACAGGAAGAGGTATGGGCTAAGAGCCGATCCCTGGTGCTAGCGAACTAACATGAGCGCTAGACTCTCTCCACATACTTAGCAGGTACTCTTTTTTTTGCAAAGCCCTCTCGAGGTATCCTATCATTCGCCTTTTCTTGGTCAACAAACACCATATGCAAGGTTTAGTGCGCATGTCTGTATTTTTCACATAGTTGGTGTATTCCGAATATGGCATCTGAGGCCCAATTGCGAGTTTAATTCACAACGACTCGCTCTCTCTTCTCTCAATTATTTTCTCCCAGACTCGTACTTGTGACATGAGCTTTATTCCTCGACAGTTGCCGAATTCCTGTACAACTCATTTGGTTTTAACTTGTGTGCTTTATCGTAAAAAATTGTCTTACATTTATACTGTGCTAAAAACGAACCTTTACCAATAGATACTGCGGTGAAAAATGTTTAAACAAATATCGAAATACGAATATAGAGCTAACGTCACAAACCGGACGACTTTTTTTATGGTACAGGGGTAAACGAGCAGACGGGTCACCTGATGGTAAGTAACTACCGCCGCCCATCGACATCTGAAAGTCAAGATTCGCAAGTGCGTTGTCACCCTTTTAGACCCCCTCTCCCCTTGTTCTTAGTTGGGATCCGGTAACCTCATTCACTCGGTTAAAACATCAACACACGAACGCACACCACACATACACGAACACAAATACCCTACTTTATACACCCTCTTACATTACAGACAACTACACTGTCACGTCACACATAGAGAGGCCACTTGCATGAACACTTCTCCACTCTTTTTTTACCTTGTTCATTCATTTCATTACCCTTATGTATGGCTAAGATAATTAGACAATATTATATCCGCGAGGATTGGATTGGTTAATAGCCGAAATTGTGCATAACGACAAGGAAAATAAACACCTTCATACGTATTCGAGTCCGGTTACAGTTACGTTACCTCGTAGTGCTAATCAAAAGATGAAAAATAAAAAACATTAATGGTATTATTACATCAATTTATTACTTTAACTTCTAAATCAGTGTCATTTTCTAATTATATGGAACAGTCCATAAAGAAATCTTAAAACTTACATGACTAATCCTTAAGTATTCCCTATTGAAAAAATACGAGTCTCCAAAATACATGTACAATTCGTATGGACTATGATTTAAAGTTAAACCATCGTGATTTTATCTAATGGTAAAAATATCGTCCCCTTAGATCGAAAACTCACTAAGTCGAAAAATGGCCAAAATGAGTTATCAATGTCATAACTTTCTTCTCTAATAAATAATCTGTCTAACCATCAATTTAGTAGTAGTGTTTCCGAATTTTGTTCCTGATTTACGAAATGTAAATGTAAGTTAATCTCTCCTTTGGCCCCATAGGAAGAAAATGAGAGAAATAACTATAACAATTTTATTACTTTTTCTATTATATTTTCAATCCATACGTAGGCCTTCAGGTAGACTAAATCACTAAAATGATTTAGTGAGTTTTAAAAATTCAGCAGTTTGTTAAAACACCTCGATTAACTAACTCGAAACAGTGACTAGTTAGGATAGTTATTATTTACAATGCACATTTAGTACATCTAGCAGTTAGTCTCAAATTACGCGAGTTGTTTATCTTCAAAATAATTTTGATACAAGTGAAAAATCTCTAACTAGGAGCAAAAATTAACTAATTCATAACTAAGTCAGACTTTTTATAGAGAATAAATAATGCCATTTTTAAGTTTTTTCAATAATTACTCGACTTCACTTGGTAGTCAGTATAATCTGATTTAATTTTATTCAAATTAAAACTGAAAGCAGAAAGATATTATGGATGGTATGGATATTATACAGGTTTTTGGACTTGATGACTTTTGGCTCTACCGAGACGATGTGAATGTTTCTAATGTAGTAAAAGATGCATAGTCTAAACTTATAGTGTGAAGGTAGTCAGAAAATTCAGAGAATTTGTTTCCATTTTTAGCAGTTTTTTTTGGAATGTCAATTTTATGCAATTTCTGTGAAATTATTAGTTTAAATTTTTAATTTTGTTTTCAGTAGGTACAATCTACAATTTGACACAATCCAAGCTACATAATAGAAAAAATATTATGAAACAGATTAACAGAACAAGGATGTGCTACAATTCCTTAAATCAGTATTATTATGACTCTAATAGGATTAAATGGGAGAAGTTGACAACATCAAATATAAAAAGTTATATTATTCTACTAGATGTGACTCGAGCGATATGAAACGAAATAGAATGTCTGTCTACCGTTACGTTAAAGCGACCGTGAAGCGGTTAGAACAATGTAGTATTGATGACATAAAGATTGACCACACACGAAGTCGCATAGATAAACGATATGGAGATAAAATCGCTTTAAATCGATATATCCTAGAAACGGAACTGTACAATACGCGTACGTAAACGCATAAATATTTAAACGGCCACAGGTCATGTCCCAGTACGAACGGTGAGCGTATCGCAGGCTCTAGTGGCGCGCGTCCCGCCGGTGGTCTCGCTCGCGGTCGCGGTCGGCGGGCGGCGGGTCGCGGTCGCGCCGCTCGCGGTAGCGCTCGTCGTAGTAGGGCGCCGCGGGCGCGCGCGCCTTCGCGCTCGCCGCGTCTCCCGCACCCGCCTCCGGAGCCACCTCCGCCGGGGACTTGCGGGCCCTGAACCACACACCGTACATACAATACTCGACAAGTGGGCGACTCGAGGCGAACTTCGCTCCCGATTTATGAATCCTTACTAAATAAATGATCTTTGGCTACTAACTCGTTTAGATCTTATGCCTCGGCTCGAACGGCCACAACGAACACGATGACTCACCTTTCTTCTCTACTGTGACCTCTGTTGTAATGGTCGGCGCGTTCCCTTTCCCTGGAGCGCGACCTGTCTCTTTCACGTTCACGGTAATCCCTGTAGTATCTGTAAGAAAACAAACAAACGATAAAGACGTTGCTACTACATTTGCAGTATGTTTGGTGATTCACCTCAGCGATATTTTTTTGGTGTAATATCTTTATTCTCGATTTCCTAAAATCTATGAAAGTGATTACGTAAAAAGGGACGAAAGTACGTAACAGGAAACCGGTAAAAATCGGGACGTAGGGAAGCTCATTCATTGATTAAACCAAATATGACCTTTATGCGCCCGCGGTACAAGATACGATTACGGTACGGTTCGCTCGTTTTTTTTTTTTGTGGTGTAAGAATTCTAATCTAAAATAATACTAGTTATAAGAGCTTGAAGCATCCACCACTTGGTATAGTATTTGAAAACGTCATATTATTAATATTAGTCGTATGAACACTTCCGTGTAAGTGACCGAAAATGATGGTATTTCTATTTATAAAGATTAAAACTGAAGGTTTTATAACATTAGTAAGTATTACGTAAGTATAAACGCAGACAGTTATAATCACAACCGGTAACAGACAAAAGTAACCATCCATTTTCATAAACGTCATTTAAGATGTTATTGCTACATGGCTAAAAAGAATTATATGATCTCATCAGAGAGTAGAGATCGTCAGAGAATAGAGTGGTTGCTTTTAAGTTTTCTGACTACACATATTTTGAGCGCATTCTGTGTCAATGGTAACGTGGTATGATAGTGCGTGACACTTACGCATCACGGTCGCGTTCACGATCACGCTCCCTCGACCTTTCCCTGTACCTGCAATTAAGGCAAGACCATCAGTGACACTGTGTGACATATTATACTATATAGCACTACAGTTTATTTTTTAAATGGTTTCCTTTATCGTTTAGTTCATAGTTAGCAAAGGTCGACTAAATTCTCAATGTTGCTTGTATTTTCAGTTTACAAACTTGCCACTACTAAATAAATGTAAAAAAAAATTGCAGTGTAAAGTATTGAGTAATCTGATAGATAAATGGCTAGGGAACAAGGTACGAGGTGAGCGACCGCAATTTACCAAATCTCTACACACCAGATTAGGTGTTATTGTTTCGTCAGTTAGCCTATAGCAGTCGTTTGACTGTGACGAGAATCATGACACACACATAAACGTTTAATAATTTACTTACGGGAACAACACACGTACACGTGTGTTGTTCCCGTAAGTACCCAGGTATTAGGTAGGTATTGTACCTATGAAGTTGGAGATTTGCATTAAAATTTTAAAATATTTTTTTTTTTATATTTTAGCTAATGGAAGTACTCGCCAAATTATTTGTTTGGACCGTGTTTATGGAAGCAGTGATAGTACTAGTACTAGTCGTTAACGTTTCGTGTTGTTTGTGGAGCGGTATTTTTATGTTGGAACTCAAATTCGAAACAAATGACTAAATTTTAAAATAAAATAACATTCGCTTTCGAGTAAAATTTATTTAAATATCGACCTGCGCGCCAATCCACAGATAACTAAATCTGAAAATGCTGGTTTTAAAAATCTCCAACTTCATAGGTGAAGACCTATTATGGCCTTTGTCGTGTGTACATACTGCACATCCATACTAATATTGTGCCATATAAAGTGTGTCTGTTTAAAGGGCTGAACCGCTTTGGATGAAATTTGGTATAGAAATAGTTTGAGTCCCGGCAAAGGTTATTGTATGGGGAATCAATAACCGCTGAACCGGTTTAGATGTAATTTGGTATGGAGATAGTTTGATTCTTGAGAAATGACAGACTACTTTTTACCGCGGTAACCGAAATACACAAAAGCTAGTATATTCGGCATACTACTTCGATGAGAGTAACGGTTTAAGTGGTCATCTTGACGCGATGCGTGTGCGGACTCGAAGTTGTCGGTCGGCACGGTAAGGGTAAGGGCACCAAAATAATTATAGCGGAGTTCTCACACAAAATTGGAGTAGAGCGTACCTGTCGCGCTCCTCACGGTCGCGGCTCCGGTCGCGGTAGCGGCTGGCGGAACGCTCGCGGCGGCGCGGCGTGCGGTGGTGCGCGCGCACGTCGCGGTCTCGCTCGCGGGACCGCGACCGCCGCGACCGCTCTCCGCTGCCGTACGACTTCGTCTCTACGCCGTGCAGCGTGTCTTGCAGTGATGATATTAAAATCTTGCAGCGGTCGTCGTGGGCGACCTGCCGAAAAACACTCGTTTCAATATCGATCGACTTGTGACGGAAGCGTTACCCGGTTACATTATAATGTCATCGCTGATCTACTACTCATATTTTCATAAGTCAGCACACACTTGTAGTTTTTAAGACAAACCATAGCTGAATACGGTCCTGGCATGCACCGTACCTTGCTCTGCTTGATGAGCGATATGGCAGTGACGAGCGTCTCGATAGCGGAGGCGTACTCGCCAGCGGCTGCGTCGCTGACGGCGCGGGCGATGGCGCTGGACGACACGGTGCGGTTGCGCGACATGACCTCCTCGAACTCTGCCTCGCTGATGCCGCCGTGCGGGATGGGCAGCGCGCCTCCTATGGGGGCGCCGTGGTGCCCGCCGCGCCCCGCCTCGGCCGTGGGCGCGTACGTCTGCGACCACACAGGGATTTAATCAAAAAGTTCATACAAACTACTGCACTATGTCAATTTCTTGTTTCAGTTTTACATCTACGGTTTAAATAGCTTTTTGTATATTTACAAGTTTGTACCCAAACACGCGCAGTGTAGGGTTCTATAGTTAACTACTACCCGTTTTGAACAAAAAACATCTTCATGTAACTTTTTTAAATTGTCAAATAGTTGTGTTTTAAATTAGGCGACCGTTACTCTTAAAAGTAGTAGAAAGGAAGTAATTTACCTGTGGCGGTCTTCCATACGGTTGCCTGGCGGCCGGCGGTGGACCTTGTGCCGGTGGCGGAGCGCCATGGGCTGGGTGACCGTAGGGAGCCCCGGGACCTAGGTGGATCATTTGTTAATATAAGGTATTTGTCATTCAAAATTGCTTACGAAACCAATAAAAAATAATTAATTGTTCTTATATTTAAACCAAAAAGATGCAGCGCACGTACCAGGCGGGCCGGGCTGTGGCGGAGGCTGCACGGCCGGTGCGGCCTGCACAGGCGGCTGTTGCGCGAAGAACGCGGGGTTTACATGCGGGGCCGGCGCGCCGCCACCCACACCCACGCCTACACCTGCGACAATAATATGGACATACCTTGTATACGCAAAACTATCTCACATAGTTGATACGTGATTTCATTAATAAATCTTATTGCCAATACTTACAAACTTGTAATTAAGATTTGGCAATATTTAACATTTAAACTTAGCATTGCTTAAATATATTTTTTTTTATTGAATACATTTGTTTTGAATCTGCTTTATTTAATTTTGCATCACTGACCAAGCTACAATGTAAACCTCTCACATTTATTTTGTGATACAATATTAAAAATTAACGTGTTCAAATCATATAATACGTTTGAAAGTTTAATTTATCACAACTGTGTATAAGCAATTATTCTAAAAAAAAAAGGGTTTTGATAATGAATAGAAATAAATGAGAACATTGCGTGCTGGTAATGTGAGCAAATTGTTTTCAAGCAAGGCAAAAGTATCATTTCTATCTTTTTATCTGTAATGACAAGTAAGTAAAGTTAGCAAGATAATAAAAGTAGTCGTGTGCGTACCTGGGTATGGGGGCATACCTGGGTGGTGGGGCAGGGGCGCGGGCCCGCGCGCCGCCCCCATGGCGCCGTGAGCCCCGTGTGGCCCGTGGGCGCCGTGCCCTCCGTGTCCGCCGTGGCCTCCATGCGGCGGGGGCATACCTCCTGCACCACCCTGGGAAACATACAAACGTTATTTACTTACCACTTTTTTAGAAATAATTAAAATAAAGCATAATATTATGCATATAACTGTGACTATGAGATAATTTTACACATTGTTGAGCTCCAATACTACATACACTGTGTGCAAATAAACTCACAGGGTGAGGCGGTGGCATTTGATGAGGCATTTGGTGTTGTGGAGGGCCGTATTGCGGCGCAGGGTGCGGTGGTAACTGCTGCGGGGGACCTCGCGGGCCCCAATCTGGGCCAGGGCGTCCGCCAGGTCCACCCGGACCCGGTCCACCAGGACCGCGCTGCAACTGCGGGGGACCTTGAAACTGTAAAAATATGTATCATGTTTAAAATAGTAAGTGCAATAAAAAATCGACGAATAAAAAAAAGTTTTTTTTAACAATGACTCACTAATCCTGTTTGACCTCTCACAAGCAGCATACAGGGTTCGAATCAGCTAATATATTTAGCTTTCGCTGTTTTTAACATTAATTTTGTACGTTAACAAGGTATACCTTACCTTATCATACCTTATCGTGACAGTAAAAATAAATTATCAGTGACTTTTAATTTCTGGATTTAAATCTTTCTTTATTCTTAGAACCATAACCATATTATTCCTAGCTTACCTGCATAGGAGGCCCTCTCGGTGGAGGTCCTTGGTGTGGTGGTGGCCCTTGATGAGGTAAATGATGTGGCGGAGGTCCTTGATGCTGAGGCATGTGATGAGGCGGACCATGTGGAGGGCCGTGTGGGCCATGAGGTCCGTGAGCACCTCCAGCTGGACCACGCATTTGGTGATGCGCTCCTCCACCAGGCATCATCATACGAGGTCCATTTGGACCAGGACCGTTTGGTCCGCCGCCGAAGAAGTCTATGGAGTGTAAATGAAATTGTTTAAAATTTTGATATACGAAAATTTATAAAGACGATAGACTAAGGCCCGTATTTTAAAAGTTGTCTCAGTCGTGAACCTAGTCTTAAAACTAATTTTAAGTAGAGATTTTATTATCGAACGTCACTTAAAACGAGATTCGACACTCCACACTCAAGTGAGTGATAGCTTATTTTAGAACGATGTTTATGTCGAAATCATTACTCAGGTATAGATTTTGACAGCTGTGATCTTTGTTTACGTGAGACAAGCTGAAACTAGTCTCAAGCATTGATTTCTAGGGCATTTAGGGGAAATGAATGTGTTTTACGATGATTTATTTTTGAATAATTACGAAAGATTTACTTTACTTTATTAACGAAAGAATTACTTGGCATACTATAATCAATTTCACTTTCATTTACCTTAATTGATATGAAATTCACCAAAATTCACATTTTACACACACAATACCAGTTTAAATTACCACAACCTTTTGCTTTATATTAAAAGTATAGTAATATAAATTTTATAAATTTGAAATAAAAACATCGTTTGACATTTCAACATGACAAGTGTTGATAATAAATAACTTGAACGTTCCGTTATAGCTTATTCATACAGCTAGTCATTTTTATTTTAATATTTATTATACTTAATTTTGAACGAACAACAAGCTTGTTAATATGTTAACATTGCTACACTAGCCAATAGTATAGTATATACAAAATCACAGAAATAATTTCTGTAACTAAACGAAAATTATTTTAAACGTAATTGAGAACAGACTGTGAGTTCAAATCAATACTTGAAACTAGTTTCAACTAAGTAAAACTTAAAACGCGTTCTATAATAAGATCGATACTTAAGATTTGATCTGCACTTAAAACTAGTTTCACGCAATCAGAGTTCAACCGACACTTGAGACGTCTTTTAAAATACGGGCCTAAGTTCCATGCTTGAAAAGTTCTACGAAGTCTATGTCTTAAACATTTACTGCTAGTATTTACAAGAAACAGAAAATTAAAACTCAGCGCGATAATTAGACGTTCATCTCATAAAATGTTTATAAAAATAGTATTAGCTCTCTTCTCTTATCGCTTGCTCGCTATTGTTTGTTAGTTGAAATCTTTCACCAGTAGCTTGAACAGAAACGTTATGCATGCAACTACATGCACGCACAGCTTAAAAATGCGTCATAAAAGGTATTGATCCAATGATTTTGCACTAATAAATTTGACTTGGTACTACTACAATGGAATGAACGATCTCAGATTGCCGTGAGCATTGATCTAGAAATCGACTATTTAAGTTTGATAGTGCCATCTAGTGTAATCGGCATAAATTTTACTTCTCAATGTATGCATTATTTGCAATAGTAATTGCCCAAAAAGTAGTAGAAAATGTTATTTTTTCTTTAGAACATTTAACAAAACTTACCTCCCGGGTGCGGTCCAGGCGGACCGCCTGGATGTGGCCCCCTCATGCCCGGATTGTTAGGTCCAGGGGGCGTTGACCTTGTTTTGGACTGACTTTCAAACTGGTTCAGTGCCTGTGAAACGCATCATTAAGTTGTAGTAGGTAGGTAGGAAGTTTAGATACTGCTATCTACCTACATACAAGTAAGCAAAAACGAGACAAGCTTTTTTCAAGCTTTGTCAACTGTTTTTTTTTTTGGTGGCTGTGGGCGAGCTATTGTTATTGATTAGAAAACCCGACACCATTTTATTTCTTACAATTTAAACTGTATATTACATTGAGAACCTAAAGTTACATCATCTGACAGAAATCACTACAAATCTGATTAACTAGGAAATTGCCTATTTCCAAGTCATTTTAGTGGATGCAACACAGTAGCGTGTAGTATAGTGATGCTGCGCGAGTATATTAGTCTATTCGTCGTTCTTTTATCAGATATTTTATTAAATTTTGTTGATAGTTCATATTTTGTAATAAAAAAAAGAACAGTGGCACTCCGGGAGTGCCGACAGAAGTAAAAACTAGTTCCTCTTCTTTTCGATTCCGATAGTTCCGACATGAATATACGTCTGTGTTGTACGTACGTACACAATATGTTTATATTATCAATGTATTTCAACCCAAACTCAGCTCTCGTGTTAACGGGGCCATTATATGTACATACTTATATACAGAGGTGTCGCTAACAGTAACAGTGCGTCAGTTCAATGGTGTTTTCCCATTTAAAAAAAATAGTTTTTTGTTAAACCATAAAATACATTATTTTGTTTTTTGTTCAAAAATGCCCAACGCGCCTAAAGAACTTATTATTTAAAATATACCTCACATCGTTTAAATTCAAACCCAATAAATGTGTTATAGTATCCTTTATTAATTTTCTATCAGTCAATCTAGCTTTCATAATACAAGGTCTGATTAGTTTGAAACTAGATGGCGTTGTGTGTCAGATGTCTGAAAATATATTATATTTCCACAATCTTTTAGAAAAATGTCATCAGTGCGTTACGTCAATCTCTAATCATGCAGGTGGTCCGTAGACGGACGAATTCTTCGCTAATTTTTTTTTCACTCCTGCGTCATTGTACGTAACATAATATTCTTTAAAAAAATAATCTTTCAAAATAAACTGAATATATAATATATTAAAATTATTGTCACTATGTCATACGTTTCCCTTAAATTATATAATATTTAATAACAATGACCAACTGTGAATTTTATTGCTGCATGAGTATGAGGCAGAAAAAAACAATTAAATAGAATGAATATTCACCTACTTAAAAGGTGAAGGTCGCTGTTTCATCAGCAGCAAAATAATTGGTATGGTATGAATTTTGGGCAATAATTGAATATTATAATAAAATGTAGAAAGTATTCAGTAAGTATATTGTCAGTTTGCATTTTTTTACTTTTCAGTTAAACGGTTACTTGCAACATAAAATTGGAAAGAGAAAAATTAAATATCATGTAGATATTCTATTCACAAAATCGATAATTTTTCGGTCGCCATATGCACGGGTACGCGCCAGTACGCGGTGCATACAGGTTGATAGGTAATACGATATATTCTTGAGTTATTCAAGATTTACGATTTTTTATGAAATATTTTATATTTTGTGGAGTTTACTCCGTACTTTTCTTGCAACTCAAACGCGAACATCTCCAACTCCATTCAAAAGCTAAAAACAGTACCTTTCTTGGGAAGACCGAGAAAATCATTTGTTTTTACATTCAAGTTTAAAAAAGACGACTAAGAATTTATGGTGATCATAAGCCGGCCATAAAATGGCTGCATTCAGCAATTAAGAATAGGCAGAAACTTTGTTTTCATGATCGACGAGACCGAAATGTGTGACGTTACAAAACGTTGGTCATGTGCGTTATGCAGCAAACCTGTTAATCCACATGAAGACGACGAAGACACTATTCAAAAAGATCTCTTCCCTACTCATAACTCAGACCACTTTCATCCAGTGGTAACATTTGCTACTTATTATTACACATTATTCTGTTTACTGCTGAAACTTAGTTTGTTTATAAATTAAAATATATTTGCGCATTTAAACATTGAATAAGTTTTTTTTATGTCGATTCAGAGACTTTTCAGTTTTCATTGATAATCGTGCTAGCCATATTCATACCAATTGTTAGCAATATGTGAATTATAAATAAACAACTTTTCAAGCTACCTACATACTATACACATGCAGATATCTGTATAAGTTTAGGTCAAAGCAAAGGAAACGAGCGTTTAGACTCGACGCTTGATCAATCTAGGGCTAATCTCGACGAATTTGATTTATACCCCTGACGCAAAAAGTTTGGGTGTCAGCTCTTTTATTAAGAGTCGTGAGTACCTCTTTCAAATTATACTCAATAGATCATTTCTTCGTCATTATATCAAATGGCTTTCACTAAGTGGCACTTTTAGCTGCTTACGCAGACAACCTAAAACAATGTTTATTTTGGTCTAAAAGCAGAGCTTCTGGAAAAAGTATGCATACCTAGGAATTAGGTACAAAAGCACTGTAATAACATTCTACCTTCTGCATAAGAACTACGGAGTCAAGGAGAGAACTAAGATAATAATACATATCGTATATGTCTAAAATACTGATGTTTCTAATTTAGACATTTGTTTAATTGAACAACCTATTTATTATTAGTTCTGTCAAACAAAAATAACTCCTACGTTTTCAAAATATGAAGCGACATTAGTTGTTTGAAGTCTGTTTTCGATTTTATTATATTCCAAAAGGAGTTTTTTATTTTTATATGCAATTGCATTAATAGAACTGAACTTTCTAGACTTTGTAGTGCTATTTACCTGTTTAGTTGGCAAAGTGACGACTGGTTGCTGCCCATGTATATCTTTCTTGGGTAGACGGTCCATAACCATCCTTATAGACTGATCGGATCCAAGTGAAATGACGCAGAACCCCTTCGATTGTCCATTCGCCCTATTCTCGAAGAACTTCACGTCTTGAAAATCGGTAACACCAATCTCTGCAATGGCGTTAGCTATGTCTTGATCCGTCGCCCACTGAAAAGGTGTTATCCAAAACTAAACCACGATACAAGCTAAAGACCTAAGCGATATTTTGCATAAATACTTGAAGACACCTGGGACTTAGCCATAAGGGCCTTCGCCCAACACATACCTGTCCATTGCACGCTTTTTAAAAACCACCGTATTTGTGATCACGATATTACGATAACCCGTAGTTGTGTAAAACGGCAGAAGCAAGCAATACTTAAGTGTCACTCGACGTGTACCCGATACCTAGTTTGTTTTTAAATTAGTATACTAGCAGCCGATTATCGGAATTCCTATTTATCCTCGTAATTAGTTCCGCGTTTGTTTATAACGTCGTTACTCTCATTTTGTAACAGGAGACGTCGGGAAAAAGGAAACAGTTTTCATTGTTACCATTTGTTTATTAATTCTCATTCATTAGATTATCACAGATAGTGGCGATATCACGGTAAATATAAATATGGCAGTTTGCAAAACTGCTGAAGCTCCATGACTTTCTTACGGGAAACGAAATCCTTCGAAACAATAAGAAGGAAGATTAACTCATTTAACAAGGATTCAATATCTTTAGCCATTACATTAGGTTTTACATCGTTAAAATGCATCACACCTTAAGTTACTGAAGTCCATTATCATAGAAATTAGTTGTTAATACACTAAACAGGAGTTTATTATCGTCTAATGTACAAAAATATTTAATCAAGGATTTATTACATTGCAGTATTTTAAATAGGGAAATATTTACATGATTGTTTTATTTAGTATTATTACAAATGATGTAATTATGCTATCATATCCACCTCTGTCCAAATATGTTACAAGAGAGACAAACGATAATGTTCTACAAACCAGGTAATCAATTAAAAACGTGATTTAGGACAAAAACACGTGAGACGTCGCGATTTATCAATTAATTAACAATGGTTAAATAATTAAATTTATATACTACCATTGTGGTAATATTAAAATAGACTTGTTTTGGTACACACAATGCATACATGCACGCCCGTCGTAATAATACAAACTTAAATGGGATAGATTAAAATCGTTCCAAACTTGAACCTATATTTAACATATTTATTGTAAACAATTAACGCCAATTTAACACGAATACATTTTGCTTACAAAAAGAAATATAACAAGAGCCAGTTGTAAACATCACAGGCATGCAGACTAATAATTTTGCCTGTCTGTTGCATAATACCAAAAAAACACAAACAATAAAAATAATAATCAAATTATAGACACAAATGGCTACATATGTACGCGAATCAAGCTTAAACATCTTACCTCTGAAAACCTGATAAAGAAAAACATTTGTTAGATAAAATACAGTCAAACAAAGCAGAACATTGGGAGATAATAGGTTTGAATTAACATATCATGCATCTATCGCCCAAGATTCCGAATGTCGAGACAAGAATATCGAAATGGGCAAGTAACACTATACACTACGTTACGTACGTATAAAATACGTTATTGATATAACACCCTCTCTATATGCAATAACTATAATATTATAGAGCCTTCAAATGTGACACAAATAGTTTCATGTTACTCACTAAAGCCAAATAAATAATATTTTAGTAGTGATATAATAGACAACAATATCAATAATTCTATCCAGTAATGTCATACGGAACATAACATTCGTTAACTATGTGCTAAGACAGTGTATGTTTTATAAAGCAATATTCAAGAAATGTGTTGTCAACATGTAACCATTGTGAAAGTATATCAAATGTTACATGAGCTAATATATATATATATAATCATTCATTCTTCCACTTTCGAAAATCAATGTTCACATTTTATGATAAGAGGATTTACAAAGGCCTCTAAGTAAGTAATGTTTCAATTATCCAATAACTAACGAGATTATAAAAAGAATAATTATTTACTTTTGTAAAATATCCTCTTGGTCACTCCCAAACAAGCACATCAAATATTATTTTATCCTATATATCACAAAGACAGTACCAATCACTGCCACTGTATCATGAATGCCCCTTAAAACAAAAGAGATATTTACAATAGGTGCTGGGGTGTGCTTGTATCACTTGTACACGTCTATGTATACAAATTACAGTAAATAGATGACAGATATATATACTATATTTATAAATGAATCATCGTCATCAGTGACTTTTTTCAAAACTTTTACATAAAATTAATATCCCGGATTGAATTTAATTCAATATGAAACAACTCTATGTATCAATTTAATGATTAAACAAAATCTTTAGCCAGTCTATGAAAAAACAGGAATATGAGTTACATATACAAGATTTGCTACTGAGACTCATAACTAAGTTTGTCTTACTAAATGTGTTAATGTTATGTGTTGTGTACAAAGGACAATTATATTCCCATACGCAAATATCTCTTTTAAAACAAAGTATTGCTATAAATTCAATATATAGAAACATAAAAACAGTTGAATATGTTTAGATAATGTCACAAGTTAAGAATTCTGCAAAACAGAATAACATTGTACATCTAAAAAAACTCATTTCAGAATTTTTCCTCAATTAGGTGCAGAAGTAAAATATTGAAAAATTTGGAAAATTGTTCACAAAGGTTTAGATATAACTGGTTATGACGATAGTTATTTAGTAAATAGCTATGTGAACAATTCACTACCATCAATCATATATTATTTTTACATAGATTGAAGCAAAAACATCTTAATGATTTCACAATGCCACTATTTTTCACTCCAAAAATTAAGTCTTTCATATTAGCAAAACCTAATCATAAAGTAGACTTTTACTATATAAGTAACATAAGAGACTGCATTATATATTTCAAATAATAATTCGATAATAATGTAAAATTCAACTTAATTACTTTGTAATTTATTAAAGTTCACTTGTTTTTGCTTCAGAATGTTTAACATAGCAACATTTACAGATAAAAAAAAATCCCATTAAGCATCAGACAGAAACACCACTATATTAAAATTATACTGATCCTTATGTTTTTCACAGTATTTAATGACCTTCAAAATACTGCAAAACCAACGCTAACCTTATTGGTGCTTTTGCCACAACCTGAGAAAAAAGTTTTTATGGTTTAGCAATAAAATTCTGTCTGATAGCAATGGTATTCAACAATTTAAAACAGTTCAATTCTTTCCCACAGAATCTTATTACTATCAATGAATTTAAAGGTTAGAGTCAGGTATTAACAATTATCATATTTTCTATTAAGTTTACTATAACTGTGTATGATTACCAGTTACTATAGTCAATGATATCACATCAATAGATTTCCTTATCATAATTAAAAGTTTTAAACAAGTAACTGTAAAATAATTATTATAAATAAGTTAAAATACAAACTTAATGCTTGTAACATTTTTCTTTAAATCAAAATTTGAGAATTACTTATATTGAACAATAATAGATATCTTATTACTTCACACTAATTAATAAAAACAGGAACTCTGGTTTTAATAAAGCAATTGCCTTTCTTGCTTTAAAAATGTAATTATACATTAACTTATCTCAAAATGTTGCTATGCTAAATGTTTTCTTTAAATTTTAGTAAAGATAGGCATTGAGCCAAACAAATATATTTGTAAAGGACCTTACTTCATTACTACATGGATTAATTAAATGCTAACAAGCATAAAAAACATTTACACCTAAAATACTATGGATAATTTAATAATAAAATAAGGTCCATATTATTTGTGTGCTACTGTGTAAATTTATATGATACACAGATGCACTATTACTTTTAACGTTATGGCAATCAAATAAAATCTGTAATTATAATTATGTGTGCAATGCATGCTCATTGGAGTATTCTACGAAGAGTAGTAAAATATACACTTTCTGACATAACATGTTAATAATGATTTCATCTGATTGCCTTAATTGAGGACTGCCGTCTTCTGCAGATTTTGATACCCATAAAATAAACAAATTAAAGTTATTGTAAAACTATTTTAACAAAACACTCAAAAAAAAATATATAAATAAATATGTATACAGTCAACAATAACAAATTTAGAATGTGTCAAGGTATTGTTTTAACAATGAAAAAACGGTCGTTTTTGACATCATTATAATTAACATTTTCTATATGTATAGATATTGTAACTGCGCCGCATTATCACTACGCAAATTTAACGAGTTCGATCTAAGTATTTTATTAAATTATCATTTGAAAACATAATCTTCTATAATATTCGATGAACTTAGTTCAAACTCTTATTGAAAATCCGTAGAACTTAAGAGGTTTGAATTAATATTTACCTATGAAATGTACATAGACTGGGTAACATCTAAATTTTATAATATTAAGCACACCTAGAACGGTACATACTAAACGCCGTAGTGACAAAATCTGCATAAAAACGACAGTCCTGAATGTTTTTCTCAGTATTGAGAGAAAAACAAACCAAAAACAATAAAAACGACGCTCCTATATTTACATTATAATCTAAATAAGTCAAATCTTGTACAAACCCAAGTTAGGTTGCCGACGTACAGTTGAAAACGGCGGCCATGATGACCGTGGCTTGGTGCGTTGTTGTGATATGGAACGTTGCCGTTGGTCTCCTCCGGTGGATGAGGAAGCTGCTGTGCGTTTGGTGGTCCATCATCATCAGGTTTCGACGACGGTGCGGCAATCACATCATCGTATAAGTCTACATTTTCACCGCCGAACTCGTCCTGAAAAATCCCATGTACAAATGTGATTTAAAAAGTAATGAGCAGGGTGAAAATGCCGGACTGTGATTATATTTACTTAAATTCGCAAAAGCTTTAATTAAATTGTAAACTAACCTGTCTATTGAAATCAGATTCAATGTCGTCAGCGTATAAATCTATATCCACGCCTCCATCCGCCATTTTGCGAATACTAAAACAGACTAAAAGTATCAAGGGACTACTAAATTTTATAGACGTAGCAATGTTGCCATTTTCAAAATGAATAACTACTAGTACTTCGGGCACCAAAAGGTAAAATGTATGAGTGACACAAGTGATGATAAAAATACTGGATTAGCTAACTCTTAATTCTTAGGTAGTAAAGAAATCCTTAACAATTGCTCGAAATTATTTATAACCAACTTAATTTTTTTTATCCAAAAAATTTCACTGTCAACAACAATGCGAGAAAATGCAGTTAAGAATCATACAAGCCATCACAAGAGTTCGTTCTCTCTCGAAGTTAATGAACTCTTTTAATTAAATTTGTAAATCTACCAGTACAGCAGACAAGGAATTGCCAACGGTCATGGCTATACAGTATACCATAGAGATATAAGCATATCTAAAATGTGTCTACTTATTAGCTACTTATAGCCTCGAGCAATTAGTGTTGCCATTATTTAGATAAATAACAATGCAGAGATGATGTAGAGTACGGCAGTGCAATCTATTTTTTTTTTTGTAAATGTACCTTAAAGTGTATCCTACTCCCACTGATGGTAAGCGAGTAACGGCTATGAAGAATCTACTTTAATTCTTAATTAGGAGAGCAGGTTTTGTTTATAATTAAAACTCTCGACTATTTCTTGAATTTGAATAATTCTTCAAAAGTAGTTGAGAGATTCTACAATTAAAATTAGTGGACGATAATGTTGTCTCTGAGGAAGCAACGATTGAATGTTTGGATTAGATCATTTACTATGTATTACACTAGATAGATTACTCTTAATTGTACAAGAAAAAATAACATAGTTATAGAGCAGGTTGTATACATTTGTATGAGTCTTATAATATTTTTTTTGTCGGGGTGGAAAATCCTTTCCGATCTCCTACTTCTCGGGAAGGCTGACTCAGGAGCTAGGAGTATGTGCTGTTTCCACTGAAAACCACCCCGACGGCCGGGATTCAGGCGCCCTGCTAAGAGGAGGAGGAGGTTATTTCAGGTCCCCCCGGATCGATGCCGCGCTTAGCGAAGCCCAATCCGAGGAAAGCTGCAGGCTTCCCCTGTCATAGTCTGTCATGTCTGGTCATAGACCCTCGCATCCATATCCGCTAGGATATCAAAAGGCGGGAAACGTGCCAGGATGGACCTGCTTCCTACTAAATGGTGCGGTATCCCCGTATGATCCGAAAGGCCGCTGCCCGCCTGCGCTTGATTGACCCTGGCTCGGTAGCGAGAGAAGGCCGATAGGCGCTTGGCCCATATCAGCGCTCCGTATCCGCCATGGATCGTGTCACCGCACAGTAGATAGTACGAAGAGGCCGTGCAGAACCAGGCTTTATCATCATCGCCGGCAGACCGGGTGTATGATCTCCAACAGGAGAATTAGTCTCTTACCCGGACAAAGGCAGTGGCACCATCTTTGGCGATGCTGCGGAGGTCTTCGGCCACAAAGGTGGCGGGAACGATCCCGCGATTTTCTCCGATGGTGGAATTAGGGTCAATAATGGGCCAGCCGGTGCCACTGACCCGGCCGGTAAGTGGGGAACAAATCGAGGCAATCATGAACCGTGAGTTTCCCCGATTCCAGTCTAGGCTTTTAGACAGATTCTTTGCAGAGAGAGCTGCCAGACCCTTCTAGGCCAGGGACGAACTCCAGTGGCGCGGCAGCCGGAACCAGCGGTAAAGCAGGAAGGGGGCACCTGGGCCCAAGTTGTTGGGAGAAAAGCCAAGGCTGCTGCTGCGAAACAGGGCGCGGTGGCCACTCCTGTCTCAAAGGTGAAAAAAAGCCTTCGGGTTCACCAGTCATATCCTCGGCAGTCATATCGACGGGTACGTTGCAGAGGACATCATCATCAGTCTTAGTAATACTTTACTATTTTACTACGAAAATACCGTTTGTGACAGTTGCGAGATTGAGAGTTGATCGGAACGGAATAGTGACTGAACTTTTATTACGAGAATTGGCCTGCTGGTTGTTACATCCTCCCTTTTGCCATGCTGGGAATAAGGTGACCTCTTACCGTCTTAGAACGGTTGAAACGACAAAATAAGCACAAAAAGCTTACCATCCTTGGTTGGGTTAAATAAAGAGTGATAAGTTTTAATACGTGGTGGAAGTCACTCGGAAAATCGGTTTTATAGTGTTTTTGTTTCTTTGTCGAACAAATGTTGCCAGAGAAAAACAGTTTGATATTCTATAAATGTCTAGGTGGAGTTCCTGATAAATATGGAGTAGAGAAATGCTGTAATGCTCTAAAAATAAGTATTAAAATATGATCGTAATGTACGTTTTTTATTTAAAGTAACGAAATTTATTTACTTGAAATTGCGCCATCTCTTGCTAGAATGATGAATATTTTTCAAAGACAGTGTTTGTTATTAAACAGAGCTGCCCTCTAGACTTTTTTGGAAAAACATAAATGACATACATGGCACGAGCGGGTGGAGAGGCGGGAGGGATGTCACCCATACCTCGCCATTTTCCGTCAAGCTCGGTTCAATCAAGTTAGCTTCTGTCAGTCGCTGTGTTTGTGTATAGTATCGTGAAAAATTATCTGTGTCGATGAATCTCAATGGGAAATCGTGCTAGCTACGACTCCAAACGATGGGTCGGTTATTGTGTTTGTGGCTTTGATGCATCTGTCGATGAGTGATAATGGCCAAGTGATTGGTAAAGTGAAGTGTTTTGTGTCGTATGCTGGGCTCTCACGGCAACTGTGAGATCCTTTCTCTGGATATATCGTCCACAAGACGACGTCGAAACACAGAACAGGAAGGTGACACACCATGTCGGCGAAAAACATACCAGGAGATAAGGTATGTTGTGAGGTGGCGAAGTCGCCCAGCGTTTTCGGTTGTAAAGGTCATATTTTTTTTGTTTCTAAACGCACCTTTCTCTCGTCTTTGTGATCAGCATTCACATTTGTAGTATAAATGCTTTTCTAGCAACCATACAAGCAGTAATAAAATTGTATCCTTAGTTATGATATAAATATTTAAATTATTCTTCATGAAACAGTGATTTCATATTCCAAGCTACATTTATATTCAATTTTTTATCTAATATTTTGTAGTTACCTACCTGCCAGTTACTTATTTTTAACAGGTCTAGATGTCTTGTATTTAAATTTGGCACTTTTTAGTATTAACTGTTTTAAAAAATATTAAAATGTTAACTCTTTAATTCATTTGATTTAATTTCATGAAGTACAATTATAACCATTTATATAAATTAAACAAATATTTTTGTCAAAGAATGTCAATTGTTTTTACTTAATTAGTTTTTGTTTTTATAAGAAGACAAGGAGAAAAGTAAAATGAAAATAGTGAACAAATAGGCTTACTGCTTATCATTTTATATTCTTTTAAATACCCCACATTAAAGACAGAGAAATGTATTAAAAATTGATGCTTCTTTTAGAACAAGCCCTTGGTTGCTCACATATTTTGTAATTTAAATTGTTATTTTACGTACCTTAGTAAATTCTATTACAACTATAATTACCCACCCACTATAAGATAATGCACTTTGTGAGAATACCAACATCCAACAGTTGCTTATTGGAACTTAAAACATGGAAATTAAATTCTAAACAGAATTTAGCTATGTCATAGTAACGGGATAACCTCTACTTGCTGGCAGTGCTTTTCAAGTTCCATGCAAATAAAGTGGCAGGTACCAGTTAGTATATACATAAATATGGGTTGGCTTAAGAAACTTTGGTTTTTCCATCAGTTAATGTAAACACACTGCATGGATGGCATAGTGGTTAAAGCAGTTGCCACACTGCTGACACTGCTGACGGCACTTTGTGTGATCCATAAATTGTTGTTCTGAGTCTGGGTGTTCTTTGTGTGTTCGTTTCATGTGTGTTTGTGAAGTCCTCAGCGACACAGGGTATATTAATAATGCGGGCATTGTCTTTTTAAAAACACATTAAAGTTATGAAAAAAAAAAAAAAAATAATAATGGTAATTACTGCTGTCTAAGACTGCTAGAGATGGTACTAGAAGGTTTGGGCGAAAGTTTCACGAGTGTAGTACCTATTACAAGACACTTTTATATTATATCTTTGCATATTTCTACATCACCTGAAGGTAGACTGGGAGAGAATGCCAAATGGCATTAAGTTTTAAATATATGTATAACTTGGTAATATAGTAGCTAAATAAGTGACCTAACTTCCTTTAACAAATAAAATAACATATTTAGAGTTTAATGTAATCCTGAATGTAAATTTTAAATAGGAAGGTGGGAGAGGCCATATTAGATAGTGATTTAAACAAAGGAAGTTTGTACTGAATCATCATGATCTTTTATTTAAAAAAGTAGCTCATGGTTTAATAGGTAGTTAGAAATATTAAACAAAATATTGCTTGTCTTCCAAAAGTCTTTGATGATTATAAATTATAAAATAGAATTATAGAAGGAATCTTATAAGAATTATCGTCGATCTGTTGCTACAGATGTAATATTCAAATCCATACTTACATAAGCATACAGCAAGGTAGCAAACATGCATACCTACACCCTTTGTAAGTCACTTAACCTTGTAACCTTGTATCTTACAAAAGTGTGCAAGACTAAGAATATATCTACATAAGAAAAAAGCAAGGAAGTTACTGTGTCAATGGTAAAGGGAAGATATAGGCTATTACATCCAAATTTTTTGAAGTGAAACTTGTTTAGAATCATTGTGATGTAAAACTTGATGAAACGAAAATGCGTCACGATAAGGGAACAAACACATAAATATAAAAGATTAAGTCGGTGAGAGAATGAGATAGAATACATTACACATTATTTTTAATACAATATTTTGACAGTAAATATTATTATCTTTTATTTAATACTAGCTGGTTCCCGCGACTTCGACCGCGTTCGCGTGGAGTTTGAAAAACGCTGCTTTAGTGGGTTCGATTCCCGGGCCGGGCAATATTTAATAGGGTTTTACTGAGATAAAAACAAGAAAAAAAAATTTTTTTGTGTGTGAATTGCACACACTTTTTTTGGTTAAGTCATAGATCAGACCTCTGCTCATATGTTAGGATCACTATTATTTCCGCACTCCCTATGTAAAGTGTAAAAACTGAAAATGTGGGTCCATTTTCTAGGACAGTGATTGAAGTTTTGTGTACATTATTTATATTATTTTAACGGGAATTTACGCGTTAATTCCCGTAACAGATCGCATTAATTCCCGTTAAAATAATATTAACTATCATGGAACGCTAAAGTTTAAAAGTTTTGTGTGCATATTTCTATCATTTGTTATATATTTATGACAACATGGATTTTTTTTTATAAGGTTGTCATTACAAAATTTGTCCTATCCGAATTGACTAATTCTAAGAAATTGAATTGGTGTTATGAATAGAAACTGTTACTTTCGATTTTTACAGGCAGACCAATTGAAACTACCAATTTTAAAATCATTTAATATACCTACTCCAAAAACAATCGGATCTATCAAATTTCAAGAGTAAGAAAGAGAATGCCCATACATGGCTTCACTGTTAGACGTTCGCGTCATTATTTCAAAAGTTTTTTTTTCAAATCATAAAAACAATTTATATTAACATTGAAACATACATATACTATACACATTACATTTGGAACATTTTACAAAAGTGAGATGGTTACAACCCTTCATCCGACATTTAGACAGATGGCTTTGTTTTCCTTTGACACAAACAGTTAAGTGCTGTGCCTCCTTCAGCCTCTTCGAAACGTGAGGAACAGGTTCCACAAGTCTACGCTTCCTAGACGAAGACGCGGGTACATCTTCTACTTGTTCTGCTAGCCTCAGAGGTAGTAGACTATCACGTGGACTGCTGACACTGACTAGGGCTTGGACACAGTACGAGGGGTGGTCTAATTGGTCCCCCATAAATCAGATACTTAGCCAAATTCATTTTGAAGTCCAGGTATTGCTTGATTAGCTTTCGGGGTCGCCCAAGTTTCATGGCATCATAACGGTACTCTATCCATGCTAAAGCAGCAACACAATCGAAAAAGTGAAAGATTACCCTTACAGTCCATTTGCCAGTTCTTCCTCGCATAGGATATTTCCCAATAATTCTGTCTAAACGATCTATTCCTTCCATGTTACAGTTATATTTCGTTATACTGGCTGTGGTACATCAAGATTGGGCTGGTCCTTCTTACTCCAGCGTTTGCGTGTCCCAAGAGGTTGTACTGCACTCTCGGTAGATGCTACGTGAATAGGCTTACTGTCGAGCCACTTTATATCAGCAATTTTTTGTCTTACCTCCCTACGCCGTCATAGCTACCTCTGCTGCCACTTTTTTGCACAACAGTCCAAATGTGAAATAGACGTAAAATATCGTTCAAAATAAATCGTCGTCTTTGGAGGCAGAGTATAAGCGAGTTTTAGGACAACACGACCTCCTAAGTCTAAATTCCCTAGTGAGATATTAATCAAGAGGAAGACCATTGGGATTAGCAATAAGAAACACCTTAATTCCTTCGGGATGCGGTTTTCATTTCACTAATCACTTTTTTTTTTGCTTCTGCTTGCATTTGCCAGTAAAAGGTATAATTTGTTCTTCTATGGCTACATTATTTTCTCTTCGATTTTCTCTACATGCCTTTTTAATTTGTGAAACTATCGGACGAATCTTCCAGAATCTATCTACCTCCCTCACAGTTTAAGGATTTTTTTAGTCATCCACGGCTTTGATGTTTGATCTGATGTTGAAATATCTATTACGAGTCATAGTTTTGGATACCAGCTTCACTCGTGTTTCTTCTGACCAAAACATTCTTATCCTCGGAAGACCTAAAGTACCTATAACCATTGAGCAGCCAGTGAAAGATCTTATTTCTTAGGTGTCGTGTTTAGTGGTTTGCCAGTTCGATTAACGATAGACAAATTTGTAAAATTTGAAATTGTATCGAAAAAGTTGGGATGAATATACTTGGAGAAGTATTCATGAGAAGTTTTGATCGAAGGTAGTTTTTCTAGCGGAGGGTCAGTATCTAGGGTATTATTGAAGTTATCTGAACGCATCCATGACAAGGCCAATTAATAGTTCACCCAGAAGCAGAAGTACGAGATGAATGGGCAACATTGGAAAGGGGCTCTTCATCAGACTCTTCCCACTCGCTTTCAGATTCTCGGGGTACCACGTTTTCGTTGATACCTGCCATATCCACCTGCAGGTCTTCATCCTCCTCGTCCTCGTCAATGCCTTCACAATCTGACGCGTCAAGATTCAATAGTAGGTTCGAAATGCGATGGTCCCTCAAACCTAAAAAGGATTTTTTTTCGTGTAATGTGCCCAAAGTAGCATCTATTATATATATGACGAAAAATCCGTTGAACAAACTATCTAAGAGGAAAACCATCATACCTTTTTTTTTCTAAATACACTTTGTCGATACCTGTACTATAGGAAACAATTAAAAATCAGTAAAAACTTTGTAAAAATAAATATTTACCTCGTCGATTTGCCGACATGTTGGTGCACGCAAAAACAATTCAATTGAAATTAATGTAAACAGTAGGAAAAAACTATTTAATCAGCCGTAGACACCTGTGATTAACGTACCATACTATCTAGTTTATGAATCAGTAGGTATTTTTTTAATAAACCGCTAGATGGTGCTTAAATAAATTATTTTAGCTAAGTATCATAGGTGATACCGGGGGTCTCAGGAGGTTATATAAAATAAACCATTAATGGGTCATCATTAAACATCGTTTTACCACAAAATGGGTTAATAATAATATACGTGAAAATAATGTCACATTAAAGTATATTGCAGTTTAGTAAGCTTATTATTTCGTGTAGGTATGTCTTATGTATGGTAGTCTTAGTTTATTTAGTGAATGTATCAGTGTTAGTTTTGCCAGCCTGGGTTTTGGCATCCCTGTAAAAAACACGATGCCACACACAGACATTATTAAAAAAATACTCTAACGCCAGTCTCACAATACTACTTATCTCGTTGTTAATATTTTCACATTTAATTTCTCAGTATCCACTAGTTCTGTTACGATTTACATTAATATTTCCGATAATACTCAATGCAGTCTTAATAATGCAGTTTACACATATTTGACACAGCAAAAAAATAGTAAACTGATTTTCATTTTGAAATAGACATTCTACTTTTTAAATAAATAAATAAAAATGTAAAAATGTGTTTGGTGTTTTTATTAGAAATAAGAAGAACATAATACAGTAAACTCACTGTGGGGATACTTTCCATAATACAAACTTGTATTTAAAAGGCAGTTTACATGTTTTTACCGATGTTTTGACCTTATGCGTTCCTAAAAAACTTATAATTATTATTTTTTATATTTTTTTTATTACGGAAGTTAAAAATACCTTTATGCTATACTCAATTAAGTAAAAAAAAAAAATTGCACGTTTTAAGTCTGAAACTTTACGTATAGATGATCCATGCAAAATAGATTTGAATCCTGAACAATCGTTAATGTTTTATTTTCGATGAAAGAGTTAGAAAATTACCAGGGTGCCGTAGAGAGACAAGACACTTATTGAATTGCAAAAGTTTATTGGCATGAGTAAACCACTTACTATGGGGCGCGCTATGTTTGCTCGTATGCTATTATTAGTAATAAAAAAATGGAGTACGATTGGAATATTGATGATACTTGAAAAACAATTCGTACGAACAAATCTTAAGACATAATTAGTAAAATAAACATAGACGAACAGTGTGTGTTTTACTAATTGTGTCTGCTATTGCTTTAATCTTCAATTACCTACTATTTTCGTATAACGATGTGTAACTACATGGATAACAAGTTTTATTGCCACTGAGTGTGCTGTATTTTGGAACCTGACAACGGACAAAGTTTATTGTATTTTCTTAAATCGTATCTCAGTACAAAGTAGCGTACCAGGTTTCTGTTTGAATTGAAGTTTTCAACAATGAAACGGGAGCTCCATATTCACAAGATTGCTGTTTAATTATAACACATTTCATATATGCATTACTAATACATTTCATGATGATTGTAGGTATATAAATGATTTTAAGCTACTGACACCATTGACGATTTAAGTTTTTTGTATCCAACATTAATTGCTTAGCATCAGGGGATCCAAATAGTACAGTACCGCCAAAGTATTATAGTCCATCTAATCTAAGAGGTACCGTTTGATAGATCTGACTAATTAAAGTATAGTGAAGGGGTCAAAGAAATCGATTACTAAAATATCTGATTCTTAAGAGATTTCGATATAATTTCTTAGTATGTACTAATCGATTACAGTTTTACACATTTATGTATGGTACCATAAAAGCCCGTGTAATGGCACATCATAGGTTTTACTAGTAAATCTTAGTATACACTAGAGTCACTAGACTATGACACGAGCGATTTTTGCCTACAAACAAAGATTTGTTTTAAAATTACATTAACTTACATACTTTTAATTTTAATTATGCGTTTTCGTTGAGATTTGGATGTAAGATTAATTGTATTTATTTATTCTTACGTACACAATATAAACATTTATAAAAAAAAATACATTAAGGAATAGTGGGCACATAGGCGAGATTAACCCATGATTGAGTTCTCTTCCAGCAAACCTAAGAGTGAAGAGAGGATTGCACAACAAGAGAGAGTCGTGTGTACAGAGTAAATTTAGGAAATATACAAATAGAATGTACAACTGAATATATACTGAAATAGAATTATAAACGAAATAACCGAATATCATGTAAAATAAACTATTATATAACACAAGTTTATACATCACATTAATAACCATATGTAACATTAATACCTACATACATACGTATCTTAGTCTGTTACTTCTCAGAAAGGCAAAAATTTACTGATTCATTTGTGACAGAGACACTTAAGGGTGTGCTATCGCGTATTGAGTAAGAAAGAGAATTCCACAGTCGCACAGCAGACACAAATAAAGACTTGTCAGAGCGGGTTGAACTACGAGAAGGAGTTTGGAGGAGAAGAGAAGAGAAGGTGCGACAAGGTCTACTTCTGGTGACAAGATAGTTAAAGCGCTCACTCCGATAGGTAGGGTAGTAGTAGGTAGTACATGCACATTTCGATGCCGCCAAATGGGTAGCCACTTGAGTTGTTTTCGGCATTCCGACACATGATCATACTTTCTTAGGCCAAATATAAAGCGAATGCACAAACTCTGCAATGGCTCAAGCTTATCCCAATGTTCTTCAGTAGCGTCGTGAAAGGAGATATCAGCATAGTCTAAAAGGGGAAGGAGAAGGGATTATGAAAGACAGATTTTAGTTTGAAGGGGAAAAAAAAAAATTAAGGCTCTTTAGGGAATTATAGGTATTAAAGACTTTTTTACTTACCTCAGTTACATGTGTAGTCCATGACATGCACCTGTCAACGAAAACTTCGAGCTTTTTACAACAACAAGCAACAACACAAAGTCAAGTCCACAAAATCGTATGGACAAGCAGTCCATATGATTCGGGCCATGTATTAATGTTCTTAAGATCATTATTGATGGCAGCGATGGCGTCTGCAAGATCGTCAACCTTACAATGATGATATTGTAAGTCGTCTGCATAGAGATGAAATTGAGAAGATATAACATTAGTGATAGCATTGAGAAAAGTAGAGGAGATAAGGAGGAGAGACCGCAGTAAGGTCACACCAGTCAGACGAGGATTCACTGGAGCGTAGTGGCGTGCGGCCCCGAAGATAAGAACTAAACATTGCGATTACAGGATTAGTGACATTCAGAGAGGAAAGGATACCCAAGATTAGGTCGAAATCAACAGAGTTGAAGGCGCTGCTGTAATCCAGTAAAACCAATACTGTAAGGAGTTTGTTCTTCATAGCTAATCGAACGTCATCTGTGATTTTGACCAAGGCTGTTACAGTGCTGTGGCCTGAACAAAACCCAGATTGGTAAGGACTTACTTGGTAAGGACTAGAGGATTAGTTACCTTTCTTCTAATGGTCTGTCCATTAGAAGAAAGGTAACTAATCAGTTCACTCCGGACGGTACTCTCAAGTACCTTAGAAACGATCGGGAGCATCGATATATGGCGGAATTGGGACACTGAGGAAGGTTATGAAGTTTTAGGCAGAGGTATAACATAGGTTTTTTCAGGATGATGGAAACAGACTTTCCTAGAGGGAGAAATTGATGATGTAAGTGGAAGGAAATCACCCACAATAAGCTGCAACATTTGTAGTTGAATGCCACCATCAGCTTCGTAGAGATGGAAAGAATGTGTTTCTTCATGTCATTTTATCATGTCATTGTAATCGGGTTGAATGAAAATGAGGTACATTGTGGCAGACGAAGACTAGAAAGGTAATTAAGAATAGAAGTTTTATCAGAAGCACCCACCAAGTCAGTGCCGTGGAAAAATGGGTTTAGATGTATTTTACGTGCGCTGTCGTTGGCGATTTTACTAATGCCAAGGGATTTTAGAAATTATCATACCTATGGTGTGTTAAATTTTTTTTACAGAGTCATGAATGAGGCGCCTTCTAGCATCTTGACACAGACATATTGCTTGATTTTTTCTGAAAGCCAATGTGCAGGTAGATGTTTTATTCTTAAATTTTTTAGAGGAGCATGTTTGGCGTAAATATTCAGCAGGATGTTATTAAATCTTTGCAACTTAGTATCTATATCTTCACAGTTGTAAACAAGAGACCAGTCCATGTTAACCCTCATCCGCTTTCAAATCTTCTGTGTTTAGGTATATTAAAACTACGTAGAAATACGAATTTTGGTTTAGGTTTATTAGAACAGATTTTGGAGGAGAGGAAGATAAGAAGATTTTATGTATTATTAAACACTTTTAAGAGGCCTGAACTGAAAATTACTAGTTATTAATAAATTCGATTTTTCGTACATTTTAACGATTATTCGTGTTTAGTGAATTTGAAGAGCCGCAACACTACGGTAAAGGACCTAACTACTTGACTTTGAAATAAAGTTTGAAAAAATAAACATCTATTATTCTGTATAAATTGGTTATTTTGCTTTGTTTCAAAGATTTAAATTTAGTCATTAAGAAGACCAAATAAAAATAAATAACTCCATTGTTTTACGGAAAAGGTTATTGTAATTGTGTGAGTTACGCCTATACAAAGTTGGTTCGTCTTGAAAAGTGTAAAACGTCAAACGGTACCTCTTAGCTTAGATAGATTATAGTACAGTAGTAATTTGGAAAACAAGTTCCAGCTTACTACTGTACACTAATTCTTTGGCTGAAATTAGAGTCAAAACAAAGTAGTTAGAAATTAATTGTGCAGTCTTTCTACTAACCAATTTTTAAGCCAAAACTACTATTGAATAAGTACGTTTATTAAGTACGTAATTACGTTTAATAATTACATTTAGACGAAACTAATTTTGTCTGTTTTTATTTTCGTTAAAAGTATTTTTGACCGATAAGCAGTTTTGACTAACTTTAATGTTTATCATTAGAGATATGAAGTACGAGTGATGAATAAATTTA